TTGCAATTCCTATACATATAACACACACTATACAGCAGAAACCATCAGAGATATTTATCAACTATTACCAATTCAAAATATACGGAATCTCCAATAGTAGTATCACGTGATATCCCTTAGCAAATGCCAATTCTTCACATGGACAGTTAAGAGAACAAAGGACTATTTTATCACAATTTGCAACCAGTTTATTGTCATTACTTAAGTGTACCACCTCACAATGGCCCTTTTAAATTTTTTTCCCTGCAAGCATTATTAGATCAGCTGCCTGTCCGGGAACATAGATTACTGTCACTTCTAAATTTATATCAGAAAAAAATACAGGCAAAAGAAAACAACTGTAGATAAAAAGTCACTGCTTCAGGAACTAACAATTGACTATTCCTTGCATTCTCGAGATCCAAAACCTCAAACTCATCATTAAGAATCATACATATTAGTAGCAACTCCCCCAGTGTTATAAATTGTACAGTTCTCATACATTTTCATAGCTGCTCACAAGGGCTATTTAAAAAACTTCCTTTTATGAAAGGAAAAAGTGAAATGTTGTCTGTGTAAAATAGTTAAGAGAGTACTGATGGATCTGAAATACCTTTGCAAAAAGTCAGGAGTATTAGTTATACAACCACACTCTGCACAAACATTTTTTTCCTGCACCTTTGGCAGATGGGGCCATATTATATTTCTGTCTCAACATGAATGAAAAATATTTTCACTGTCTTTTCCTGCAAGGCTCACAAGACAGTTGTTTGTAATAATATATTGAAACAGGTGGCACTTTAGGAAGGTTGGGCTTTCCAAAGGCAAAAATTCAATTTAACTGTTACTACGCTGCCATGTACAATATTCAGAATTAGCTGTTCTCTATGGACAAGAAACAGAAAGGATCTGACTTATTTTAAACAGTAAACAGTGCAATGGAACCAAGTGAGCCATTTTTACCTGCCATATAAAGTGAGCCACGTCATGCCCATACCTTGGACACTGTCCAGAACAAAAACAATCTCGGAGGTAAGCATACACATTATTCTGTGACAACTGCTTGCTTTAGATCAGAAAAAGATGCCATCATTCAAGAGCTTTCATTCATAGATAAAGGAATTTGTAATAATTTCTCCTTCTTTGGGATCTGGCCTAGTAATCCAGTTCATGGCTTACATCAGCTGTCAGAGACCTTCTCAGGTTGTGGCCTGGAATGACCCAGTTTGGGTGAGAGGCAAATGAGCGGGCAGCTACTAGGACCCATGCCCCCACCCCCCACCCCACTTCTTCCTGTCGAAACACAGAGAGAACTCCCTCTGCTGAAGGCTCCCTGATACCAAAGCCCTATATCTGCAGACCAGAACTGGCCCATATGCTGTAGTTACCAACACCACGTGTTCTCTTTTCCATAGCAAACTTCCTGTTCTGAAACAAATTCTACTTCAGTGTCACAATATAAACAGACAGGACTTCACTAGTGATACAAATCTGTGTCTGAACATGCAGTTATTTCTGTTCCTGAAATCATTCTGATGGGGCTGCCACACAGAAAATTTACGTCTGCAGAAGCTGAGCTCTCAGGAAGGACTTTATAAATTAAACATTGCTTTTGTAAGACTATTTGGAGCAAATGTTCCTATTAACTTTCCTGATTAGAAAAATATCAGATCCAAAGCAAAATCAACTCTTGCTCCTTCCTGTGAGGAGGAGAAAAACATGCTTCTTAATTGCAAAGGAAATCTGATGTTACGGATCTGAATCTTTAGACCCTGTTGCTAATGAGGTTGGGGATACATAGTCCTTCACTTCTGTTGATATCAAAAAACAATATTAGGGCATATTCTTACTTACTGCAAAGTTTGTCGGTATAACTGGTATATGAATCTGAGCACAAAGTTCAGCCAACTCCAGGTGCACACAGCCAACCTGCAAAGCCATAAGCAAGTTAATGCCAGAGATCCATTTTCTGCGTGCTAGCATGCATTTTGCTGCTTATACAACTGCATGTGGCACAGCACAGTTTGCATCAACTCACGTGCACAGCAGACTCAATTAATCGAGTCTGCTCTGGAGCAGTGGATCTCTGGCACGTCACGGGACAAAAAGATATGTGTATAAATGCCCAGAATGTCTCCAGAACCTGCAACCTGCATTTCTCTTTATCTTTACTTGCTCAGATAGGTAGGTACATTTGCCTGAATATTGCCCTGTTCTTTTGTGCTGCACTAATTCCATACTGTGTCTATCCCAGCATGTCTTTCTAAATGACAAACACAACTCCACATGCTCCTCTTCTATCAGCTCCTGAGGGAACTTAGTCCGTCTTCCTAAAGGGATGAAAGGTAGTCTTTGTGTAAACACGCTTTGGACTGAAACACCTTCTATGTGTATTAGTACAAAAGAGCATCACCATCATTTTCTCAGCAATGATGCACATTTCACTGCTTATACGACTGCATGCATCACAGCACTGTGCCTTTTCAAAGTGCCTGGCACTGCGGTGCTTACACGTGTAAAAACACCCAAAAGTTCTCCATAAAAACTATTAAAAAAGAAGATCAAAGTCCTCAATTTTGGACCACTGGTTGTAGAACCAATCTTTTTCTTCTGAAAAGGAAACACAGTATTTTACATTTAAGTAGCATTACTCATCTCAAGATCTTAAAATCACGTTAATCTCTTAAGGAAGATTAACATGATTTTGTCTTAGATACTGCAACTGAAGGAACTTACCACTAAACCTCTGATTTAGATCTTTTGAGATTGCTGCACTTGGCTAGAGAAGTGCAGACAGGATTATCCACTGCTTGGTCCTTCATATAAGGGAAATTCACTATATGTATTTCCCTTCTATGTGCAAGTACTTCTCAGTTAATTCCCCTGCAATGCTCATCTTGCTCTGAAGTATAATAGCTGCCTCACAGCTGCTGCCTCAAGAGTTCTTTCAACTGTCCCTTCTATCATCCATGGTAGCCACGAAAAAGAGTGCACCCCTTGGTCAAAAAGCACAGAAAAATATATATTAAAATGGGGAAAATGGGCTTACTAATGCTGAAACTGCATAGACCTTCAGTTATTCATGCATATGTTTTTAATCTGATGAATTAACTAGTCCTTATTATGTCTTCAGTCCCAAATTGACTAGACAAACAGCTGATAGCATTTTCAACTGTAGGCTGGAACAAACTGGCTCCAGTCTGAGGCAAGCCACTATTCCAACCTGACCACCACTACTGCCTTTGCCTGCCACCAATTCTCCCCACCCCCTGGTGTAGCATGGTCAGGCTCCTCACTGCCCAGCCCTGGTGCAGACAAAGCCACCCACAGTTCCAATGCCACCAAAGCCCCCCCTTGCCAAGACGCCACCAAAACCTCCAGCTCCTTGGACCAGATTTAGTGACTCCACAGGATGGATCTGGCTCACCAGCCAGCAGAACCCTCGACTAGACCGATTATTAGCAGATACAATTTTCATGGGGAAAATATGCAAGACTGGCAGCTTCAGTTTACTAGTTATCTGGCACAAGAGACAGAAAAGTCAGTGACTGGCTGGTCTTTTCCAAAAGGTAACAGGGAACGATGCAAAATAATTTTTAAGTCACACTAATATATTCACAGCAGCAGACTGCCAACAGTTCTTTCCTTTATAAAGATATAAATATACAGATAAAATTGAGAAATGAGATGGTCACAAAATAGTCAACCCAACCTGATTTAAACAAACCATGTATAACAGGCTTCAGTGCTACATTTTCTAGAGAAGCCCTGACTAGCGTGCAATAAATTAAAGCATGCAAAAGCAGTAACTTTTCAAATGTTCCAGATTATATTTTAAGTTTATTTCTAAACACTTTAAAGCAGCAAGTAATCCATGGTTACACTCTACCTAGCAAATGCAAGTTAAGAACAGCTTATTTTTCTATCCCTACATTTAAGATAACAGCAGCAACAGTTTTATTCTGTTGCCCAGAAACATGTCTACCTCCCTCTTCCCAACCACATATGCCACTTACATGTTTGTTTTTCTTTCTTTTTTTTAGAGAATATCATTAAAACAATTATTTTGTCTAATACAAAACTAGGCCCCCTCTTAAACTTCAATTCAGGACCTTAAATTGCTGCTTCTTCACAATATAGTAAATAAAAAGCATGATCCAAAAGGGGTGAAATAGTTAAAGACATTTAATCATTCCTCCCCCTTTGGCCCATGCTTTTTATTCACTATATTTACTATATTTATTAACAAAACCTATTAGCTGAACTTAAAAATAATCCTCTCTACCAGCCAAAAAAACCCTTTTATTATTTTTAATCAAAGTGAAAGCACAAACAAGGCTTAACACAACCACTTAACAAATCACCAAGTCATTTACTTCTCATTTAGAAGCATGTAGTAATATAATATAAAGTGACCCTCCCCACACACTGACTTCCTACTTACATCCATCCTACTAATGCAGAAAGTGTACACTGGCACACCTTACACTTCCAGCAGTTGTCTTCTGGTTCCCAGCGTGCACAACTGAAGACTACTTCAAAGTCTACTTTTATCTGTTCTCCTATATAAGGATGACTAAAGTCATGCAATTTATAAATTTAATCCATTTAATTTTTCACGTGCTATACTCGTGACTTCCGTTTTCAACACAAACATTTAATTGTTACTTGATCTTGCCACACTGCATCCTGCATTTCTACTCCAGGGGGCCCCTATAAAATAATGTTTCATTTATAAGGTTTCAGTTCCTTATCGTCTTTGCAGAAATACACCTGAACTCTCGTGACCTTAAAAAGGCAAAGGCACCGTTAGCTAATAGTGTACTTTGGGACAATATAATTCACCTTTAAGGGGGAAAAAAAAGTTTCCCTACCTGTTTCCCCTCAGACAATAGACATCAAGCTAATCACTCAGACACTCAATTTTAGTCTCAAGACAACTTTTATTACACTCATAATGCACCAGCAATAAGCAGCAAGTTCTTTAATTTGGTGGCTCTCGACACGGGTGTGGGACTCACCCCTCCAGCCTTCAGTAGCTTTCTTCGGAATTCCTCTGTTGGGTTGTTGAATGTGAGCTTTTCACAGCGGAGGTGATTTACAGGTGGATGGCCTTCAAGGTGCAGGAATAAGTCATAGTCAAAGCGGACTTTCTTAGGTTCTTCCTAAAGGTTAAAAACCAGCCAGATAAATTCTGCCACCACAAGCAATGACCTTGAATACAAAGGCTACGTAAAGAGTTAATTTAAAAAAGGTGTCAGCTAAAACGGAAGTAAAAAAAATTTTACTGTTGGTTAACATAAAAACTAGTGAAACTGAGGTCATTTCAGTTCATCAAAAACGTAAGTTCCTATGTAGAAACCCGAGGGGTGACTCTTCTTTAGGAGTGGTAAAAAAAGGAATGGAACTGTTAAAGCATACCATATTATAATGCCTGTCTGTGACCTCTGCTCATTTTTTTAATCATTATTAATGAAATCTCAACATACTGGATCCAGTCTATCCAACTATATTGCAACATTCAACCAGAAAAAAAAAAGATATCTTGAACCCAACTTAAATGCAATTAATTTTCCCTATACTGAGGAGTGAAACTTAATAGGTAGTAATTTTATATAAAACTTTGTAATGTTCCCTGTACCAATATGAAGAGCAAAAAAAGGAGACAGATACAGCCTGGAAAGGATCATCACTGTTCTATCACTTGGAGAGCTCTCCGCCAAAAAAAGTAACTGATCAGACTCCAGTTTGTAACACCACAAAAAGTAATTGAGTAAATGTTAGGTGATAGGTTTACAGTGTTCCAGCTTATTTCTCCCTTAGAAATCCCAAATGCAGTAACTGCTACAGTAGAATAAGCTTTGTGACAAGGCAGGCTTAGGCACTCGTTACTCTGTACAACCCCTTTCCTTCCCCATGCAATGTGTAACACAAGCTATCAAACAATGGAACTCTTCTAAGCCAAGGTACAAATAAAAAATAAGAAGTTTGATTTATAAATGTCTTTAAGGTCTCCAAGGTAAAAAATAGCTAAAATTTCAGTGTATATCAAACACATCTTTTTGTACAGAACCTCCTCAGAGAAGGGAGCTGTAGGTGTGCCTTATTCAGTGACAAACGTATCATTTGCGCTTATAAAAAGATCACAACATGTTTACTTTTGACTTGGGATTCCAAGGATGTGGCCAGCAGGAAGCTTGGAAATCTTAATTACAGTCAAAGCCAAAGCAAAGATTTCAAATAAAGTCAGGTCAAGTCCTGAAAGCTGTCCTATCTCTGAACTTGAAGGTGTGGCCCATGAATAGGGGCGGGGATAAGAATCCTGCAGTAGCTTGTTTTTGAAGTCAGAGGAGAGCAGTTCCTTTTAGATGCACCAGTTGCTTGATAGACCACTTTGAAATATATCATGGATGAAGATATTAGGGTTATTTTTAGAGACATTAATACCTGTTTTCTTGGGTAAAATGAAGTGAATTACTGCCCAGCCTACTTGGACAGGGAGCTGTAATGTTCCCATGGGCCATCAGTTGATACTGATGGGTATGCTATAAAGATGAAGTTTTAAGAATTTACCAACTGGAGTCTTCAAAGAGTTCTGCTGAAAGTTAGATGACCAGTCACTTCAAAGTAGAGAAGCACTATTGCAAGAAGCATCTCTAAAAGCCACGGCTATTGTTTAATAGCAGCCCTGACAGTGAGCACATATTGCAGTTCATCTGGCTCCCCTATGGAATATGTACAAATAAAAAAATTGAACTTTCAATGTAGGGAATCCTTGGATTTAAAAACCTGTTTTTCAGGTATTAACGAGCACATCTCAATTGTTACTATCTGCACCCTATTGCTGTGGAACACATGATGAGTTTTTCTGCATTCCTATGATTCCTTAAAGCTTGGAATATTTTCCAGAGGGAAGAACCTATTGGATTTTCTACCAATGTCTTTTAAGCTCAGGAACAAGAATACTGTAATTCTTTGAGTCCAAGATGTAAAGCTGATGGCTTCCTGCACCCCCTTCCTTGTTCTAGATATTAGGATACTTTCCAAATCAGAAATGGAAAATTTGTCTACCTTGAATAAGTGATGACCATCCTCTTCCTCCTCCAATCTATCCCCTCTTTTTTCTGCATTGGAGTCACTGTGAAGCAGCTTGGGGAAGGAAGAGTAGCTGAATCAGGAGAGAGCAGCATTTTCACTGAAGAATGGTGGCCCTATTTTTGTCCCTGTTTTTCTTTAGCATGCTATCGACCCCAGAAGGGTTCTGCTGATGCATCAATGTGAAGAACTGGCCAACTCACAGTCTGACTGCTGCTTGTTGCTTTCCATGGCACCAAGATAGGGGTGAGGGATGTTTGCAGCTTCCTAATTCCAAATGCTGTTTGAGAGTGATGCAAGCTGTAATCATTGGAGCCTTCTTGATTTCAGTACATGCAACAACTCCTGCTGGAGATCTCCTGAGACTCGAAGGCCTCCGCATTCAGCTAAGGCAGCCAAAAGTCTGGGTGGAAAACAAAAAAAGAAATGTCGGGCGGGAAGCCTCTGCAGAGATGCTTCAATGAATCTCTCTCTTCTGACTTTGTCTCCCTAGTTTTGGGATGAACTCTGAACAGGAGGGACCCAGAAAATGGGTTTCTTTTTCTATAATACAGTCAGATTTCTTGAAACAAAACATGCTGCTTTCCTAAAGCAGACAAAGCTGAAAAAAAAGTACCCAAAAAAGCCAGTTACCCATTGAAGCCGTTTCCATTTCTTTCTTTGCCAGCTGATGAAATAAAATATGCCCTACGCTCCACAGATTGATACAGGGAACATTTCAGAATTAGCAGTCAAAACCTACAACCAAGGTGGTACCTGAGCAGTTCCTAAACTAGGATGAGCAGAATAAACATACCTTGCACCTTGACAAAACTTTCCACGGAAGGAATAGGAACAAAGTGCCCACTTAAAGGCATACAAAAAACTCATGTAAGTGCACTTATCTATGCCATGTTTTAAAGTGAGCAGATTTGCAGCAAATAATTTGACTCTGCAGATCTATTTACATTCTCCAACAATCTTATTTAAAAGTTCTGATGAAGTACCTATTTGTTTCAAATAATGGCTTTAAATTATATTTTAGTACTAGCAGATAATTAAACAAAAACAGTAGTGAAAAGTAACAGCAGCAGCTCTACACTTGTAGGTACAACACTTGAAATACTATCAGCCTTAAAACACTATCAGCTATTAAAATCTAAGAAACTGTGCAAACTTGGAATATTTCTGATTCTTTTTTTACCTGAAAAGTTTAGACATACAGCCCATCTCACATATAATAAAATCTCAATATTTACTATCACAGGGTCCTGGAATAAGCACAGGAGTTATTTGTTTAAAATGTGAAATTTCACAATACCACTACTTAGAAGAATTGCATAAGGTCTATTTTTAAATGGTACCTCCTGGGAAGCTGGTAATGTTGAGTTAAAAAGAATCAATATTCACACATACTCTAACAGAATGTCCTTTCAAACTGAGGATGTAGAATGAAAAGGTTCCCTTTGAAAGGCCAAAAAGTGAACCAATTATAGGAAGTTGGCAATATTAAATAGAACAATGGACTCATTATAAAAAATAAAAAAAAATCAACAGCATCAAAATTAACTTCCCTTATTTAAGTTCAACCACCACTTTAAGAACTTCCCAAAGTATGGGCTGAAAACCCTACCAGTTTCTGACAAAGAGGCTTGTAATATTTCTGGATAAACTAGATATTTTACCATCAAATTCCTATGTCATATGGCAATCTTCACAAGTTACTATGCAAGTAAAAAAAAAAAAAAATATAGTGCAGTCATTCAGCCCAACTGTATTTTAAGATAGTATTTGCCAGGATTATGAGTTGTGAATTGAAATAAGTATTAAAAATTGCCTACTATATTAATTTTTGTAGACAGCTGAAAAAGGTTAGAGTACATACCTTATTTTTGAAGTAAACCTCAATTGGCAAAATGAAACCAGCATACCCAGATTCTTCAACTTTATAAGGTGGATCTTTGCACACTGAAATAAGAAAAAGTATCTGCTTAATAACAAAAGTTGCATCTAAAAGAATAGTCAGCAAATAACTTATGTGATAGTACTGTCAACTAATTTAATGCTGTTACTGTTCATATTTAGGAGCACACCCTGGTCCCATTGAGGTCAATGAGAGTTTCAACATTCACTTCCACACAACCAAGTCTTGCCTCCAATGCATACCTTAAGCTTATTTATTATGCATATAGATCCAGTGTGGGTAACAAAGTTCCCTATTCCTCCCCTCTAGACTCCAGAGAGGAAGAAGAAGAGAAGGTACAGAAGCCAATTGATTAGCATATGGTGGGCACACAAGACACCATAATCTAGGGCCTGATATATGAGTGGAAAATTTGCAGAACTCCATCCAGGAAAGGTAAAAAATACAAAGCATTAATGGGATGCACTTATAGAGGAGACAGACTTGCCCCGTAAACACAGCATATTTCTCAAACTAAATCATCATTTACTACATACTCAGATTGAGAGTGGTGCTCCGCAGATAGAACTCTCTTATGAAACCATGGGGCCTCTATGCAACCGACCAATGTGTTTGTCAGGAGTAGCAAACCATGGACAATCTCCTGAGATGCCTGGCAGCACCATAATGCACCCAACAAGATTTGCAAATACCAACACCAGAAGCAGTGGCCTGCACAGAATACTGGGAGCAGACCATATAGAAAGGGTGGACTGGAGACATGACAAGTCAACAATGATGACTACACAATGATAAACCAAGCATATTGCAATTCACTGCTTTCAGCAAAGTGAACTGTATTTTCAGTATTAGAGCTATACACTACTGTCCAGTAAGACACAGGCTCCTACAAATAGGATAGAGATTATTATTAAAACAAAGATCCCTAAATAACATTTTCCCTTAAGTTGTCAATATGGCTCCCAATTCAAGTCAGAATACAACGCCAACATTTAAAAAAAACAAAACAAAAACAGTTAAAATGCAGGATAGAGGCTTCTTTTCTTCTATCTTTTTTATTTTGTTCCCCAATTGCAGAATTCAGGACACATTAGAAAAAAAAAAAAGAGATCATGTTAAGGCAGTTCAGGCTCAGGAAACCCAGCATCTCCAGTGGAAAGTCAGATGCTTTAAAATATTACATCGGGTTTGTGCCAACTAATTTCCTCGGTGATTTCCATCATCTTAATTATACCATGTAAGACTGCCAGATTCTCTGTGGATGACTGGCAGAGCTGATGCAGCTCCTCTGTGAAGATTCGACTTCTCTGGAATGATTAGGGTCTAGTTATATCAATGATCATTGTTACCAAATGCTCAGGTTCAGTCTGTCAGTCAATTCCCAAGGTATATTAATAGCTACTATACGGTAAGAGCTCTTTAGGATTGCCAGAAAGGTTGTATTGTAAAAAAGGTATTGTGTAAAATGAGTGATTTTATATGCCTTCAAGTACTATGTTATTACTGCAGGTTCTCTGTACAGTAGTAACAGCCAATAAGTGTGATATGAAGTTTACAGACCAGCAGGAGACAAGCTGCCTACCACAAATATGTTGTCTAGACAAGTGGTGCTCAACCTTTTCTGTATCAGGACCCATTTATAAACATTGATGGCCAGCCTTGACCCAGTGCCTCCCACCCCCAGTCCCCCAGTGTGAGGTAGGGGGGTGGGTATGTGGGGCATGGGTGCCCCAAGCAGTCCCTTGCATACCAGCCTACAAAGGAAAAGCCACAGTTTCCTACTTTTTTCTCCCTTAAAGGAGAATCCATTTTTAAAGTTGGTTTGCAACCCTTTCTTTGTGATTCACTTTTGAGTCACGACCCATGGGTTGAAAAATGCTGGTCTGGACAGCCAGACCAATACAGGTTTCCCTTGCTTTATGCGGGTTCTGTATGTGCAAATTAGCTCTTATGAGATGACACTTTCTATACCAAAAATTTGTTATATGTGAGATAAATTCACTCTTATGTGATCAGTGTGGTGGAAGCCTGCAGTCAATAGCTTTGTGCGGTGCATTATGGAAGTGACATGACCCAAAATAGTCTTCTGTGTGGACCTGTGCTCCTCACTCGTTGTCTGCAACACGTTTCTGTAGTTGCCATCCCCATTATGATAGTGCCTGGTGCTTGTGTGTACTTGTGCTGTTGGTTAGTACCAAAATTGTCTGGTAAAAGTGGTAGAAATGGGTCTAGGCAGTTGAGACCTCGAGGTCTCAGAATGTATCCCTATTTGTTACATTGTAAAATGGGTTCCCTTTACGCGAACGCAAGTTACGCGCCATTTTCCAGGAACGCATGTACAGCATAAAGTGAGGGAAACCTGTAACTGGCATGTAAGGGCTCCTACAGACGAGAGCAGAGCCTATTCAAATGCACTGAAATCCAGCAACCTTTCGCATCACATGCATCAGCATCCCGCATGTCTGCACTAAAAAGATGGTGGTGGGACACTGAAATAAGACGCATTCTATGAGCTTTATTCGAAGCGCTCTGCACCAGGGTGGGGACATGCAGGGATGCTGACACATGTATAGCATGGGCACTTTTAATTAGCGCTGATCACTAATTAAAGTGCCCAGTACCACATCCCAAAACATATGTAAAAATGCTCTAAGATGCTGATGGGTGTTCCTGGTACAGAACCTTCTAGAAAGACCTGGCTTCCAGGATAAGTGTAGTTGCTGCTACACAGTCAGATGGATGGCAAATTGGCTAGATGATCGCACCCAGAGAGTGGTGGTGGACGGGTTGTTTTTGACCTGGAGAGATATGGGCAGTGGAGTCCCCCAGGGCTTGGTCCTGGGGCCTGTACTGTTCAACATCTTTATCAGCAATCTGGATGTGGGTATGAAATGCACGCTGTCCAAATTCACTGATCACACCAAGATGTGGGGCGAGGTGGGCATGCTGGAGGGGAGGGACAGAATCCAGCTAGATCTAGACAGGTTACAGAGGTGGGCAGATGAGTATAGGATGGAATTCAATGCAGACAAGTGCAGGGTACTGTATCTAGGGAGAAGGAACCAGCAACACACCTATGGGCTGGGGAACACCCTTCTTGTCCACACAGTGGCAGAAAGGGATCTTGGAGTCATTGTTGACTCCAGGATGAACATGAACCAATGCGAGGAAGTAGTCAGTAAGGCTAACAACACCTTGTGATGCATCTGTAGATGCGCGACAAGCAGGTCCGGGGAGGTGATCCTTCCCCTCTATGCAGCATTGGTCAGGCCACAGTTGGAGTACAGTTCTGGGCACTGCACTTCAAGAGGGATGTGGCTAGCATTGAGAGGGTCCAGAGTAGGGCCACTCGTACGGTCAAGGGGCAGCGGGTCAGGCCCTACGAAGAGAAGCTAAAAGGGCCTGAATCTATTCAGCCTCCACAAAAGAAGGCTGAGAGGGGATCTGGTGGCTGTTTACAAACTCACCGAGGGGGACCAGTGGAAATTGGGTGAGGCTCTGTTCCCTCAGGCACTACCAGGGGTTACTAGGAATAACAGCCATAAATTGGTAGAGAGAAGGTTCAGGCTGGACATCAGGAGACATTACTTTACAGCTAGGGCTGGAATGGACTCCCAAGGGAGGTGGCGCTCTCTCCTACCTTAAGGGTCGTTAAGAGGAGGCTGGACAGATATTTGGCTGGGGTGTTATGACCCCGGCACTCATTCCTGCTCAGGGCAGGGGGTCAGACTTGATGATTTATTTAGGATCCTTCCAACCCTAGACACTTTCTCATGTCTTGCTAGGCAAACTCTGCTGCTTGCTGTACAACAGGAGAGCCACAGTCCCTTCTCCTGTGGGGTGACTGGCACAGCTAGCCCCATGCTGTTCTTTGCCAACAGCCTGTGAAGGACATACAAAGATAAGGAAGGTTCTATGCAATGCTGCTTCCCTTCCTCTCCAGCTGTGCAGCCTCCATTCACAATCTGGTTTAGGGGTGATGGACAGGAAAAGGGATGGCATGGAAGTCAGCAGGAATAAGCTATAATATTTTAAATTTGTTGCATTTATTCTGTTATTTCCTCCCTCCCCCCGATCTTTATTTGAAAAATTATTTTCCTTGGCAGGAAAAAAGAGAAATATAGTTTTAAAGTATCCCTTAGAAGAGATGCTCCTTAAGAAAGATTTTGAAGGACAGCATTTAGGCATGATAGAGTATGGGGGTGAAGGGAGGGTGACAAGGGGCTTTTAAGCTTCACTCTCAGCCTCTTACTTGAAAATGCCCAGAGGCAGTATTCCACATTACGCATACAGTTCACAAGTCTCCTCTTTAAGACAGCAAAGCCTCTGCATGGCAAAACAACATTTCAAAATTTACCAAAACAGCCTTAGTTAAGAACAGTTACTTGTTACAACAACAGCTATTGACAATCTCCTGAATTCAGGTTACATTAGCCCCACTCCTTTTGGCTGCCCATGGAAGAGAAGCCTTACTTGTATTACTACACTGACGTTTGACCCTACAGGTGTAGAGACAGGAGACTGAAAACCATTTATAAAAACAGGGAGAGGTTAAACTGCAAGATGTTTACCCAGATGGAAGCGATGCAACGCAGAAACTTTTTATAGACGAGAATAATATGTTGGTTGGTGCTGAAGTTTCAGGCTTCTATTACATGACATGCACTGAAGGTTTAGTCACCTTTCTCATTTCTCTGGTATCATGTCAATTACTTCTTGCACACTGAACTGGTCCAGAAAACACCTTCAACATAAATATTTTCTTCCCTTTCCCTTGAATAGCTATTCTCTTAGATTTACACAGCTGTTGCAAATATTGAACAAGTACTTTGACAAAGTTTCACTTTACCACAATGAAAATAAAACCTGTTACACTTACAGCTCTTGTAAAAACTTGAGGTGATGGGTTACAAAACGCATTCCATCATGAGGATGGTATTTCCTTTACCACAGAATGAGCCAGCCCTGCCGGTGGCAAGGAGAATTCTACCAGCTAGCATACAGAGAGCTATTGAACAAAGAAAATGACCAAGAAAAAAGTGGC